GCCTTTTACCTTAAAAACACTCATAACAGAGCGTTTTGATTGTTTTTAAATTGGAAAAAATTTGGCGTCTGTCGGATGCACCAGCTGCCCGTTCCTGACTTAGGTGACCCTAATAGTTTAATTTTGTTCTCAGAGGTGCAGGGTGTGCTGCTGGGGGACCTGCTGGTGCTCCTACAGAAACAGGATGACAAAGTGGTCCTCAAATGCCAAAGCAAGAGTAACATCGCTGTGCAGGAAGGCAAACAGATGCTGAGCCCCATTATAAAGCTGGACTCCGTTTTTCTCCGCGATGTGGCGACGGGTGAGCTTCACGGGCAAATTTAGGTCGCTTTCATCATCCGGTTCAACTGATTTACTCTTCCACTCACTGGTTTTCATTGTTCCGTCAGATCGAAAAGCTTTCTATGTGATTTTCACCTGGGACAGCGGTGCTCAGATCTACGAGCTGGTAGCTCAGTCTGTCGGAGAAAAGAACACGTGAGTGTCCGAAACGGGTCGAYAAAACCTGCAAATCCAACAAATGAACTGCAGCCTAATTTTAGCGTGCGTTTCTAGTTGGACGGAGATCTTAAAGTCAACCGTGGAAGAGCTGAAGAAGAGCGGAGCATCCGTTGTGCTGAATCTGCCTCCTGGTGGAGGAGCTCCTTTCAGTCCCTCCACGTATGTGTTTTTTTTTTTTTGTGTGTGTGTGTGTTGGAAAAAGCAAAATCGAATCTTTACCTGTCAAAGTTTCCTGTCATAAAATCTACTTTTCTCTCCTTGTTTTCCCTCCATCAGACTGAACGCGCCGTTGATCGCAGCTGAGAATGGAAGTTTAAAAAGCAGCAGTGGTGAGACCGCAGTGCAGCTTAACGCTAAATGAGACTTTACTGCACATTTCTAAAGACATGCAGGTGATGCTGAGTTGTTTCCATCCGTAGATCACGATAGGGACAGCTTGACAGATGACAAGTCGGATCACAGGCACAGGCTGATGGCTTTCCTGGCAGAGAAAGGCGTTCATCCGCTCAGCGCTCGGGAGAAGGTGGCCAACAATGCTCTGGATGATGGTGAATAAGTGTCTTCATTTTGCTCCTTTTGTAATTTCCTTCTTCATTTTTGGTCTCCACTTTTAGCTTTTGATTTACTGATAAACTCACTTATTATTGCTTTTAGTGATGTCACTGAAAAGATTGCTGATCGGCAGCATCAGTGTGTCAGAAGACTCGCAACCTGATGAAGAAAATGAAGAGGAGCGATCAGAGAGAACAAATCAAGAAACAGAAGGCTCTCTGTCAACAGGTAGTCTGGCCTTCTTTTTTTTCCTGTATTTTCTGTAATGTTAMCTAAAAAGCAAAATTTGGCACATCTAAATTGAGAGTTTTTTTTAAAGCCACAGAAGAAGGTGAGGCCACAGACAGGGGTTATATGGAGGTGAACTCCAACCCGTGTGAAAGAGAAGCTGCAGAGACAAAGGAAGATGAAGGCGGGAGCATCAGCGCACCCCTCGTGTTGTCCCAGGAGAGAATGGACGAAGTGCGCCGGAGGCTGCACAGCCTGGAGGAACAACTAAAGAAACTACAGGTGAACGGAGAGGGGGAGTGGATGAGAGAATCGACGAGAGAGCAGGTTGTATGACAGAGGCAGATAAAGATGGGAGACGAGACAAGATTGGAGCCGAGTGGAAAGAGACGCGTATCTGTCCATTTCAGTCCCGATAACTTAAGTAAGGAGTGAGCAGTGGACAAAATAGGACCAAATGGCAGAAAGAAAAAAAAAGAAACTAGAGAATAGAAAACCATTTAACCACTGCTGTTACTGCTTTGCTGAAAATTGCCTTGTGAAATTGGACTTGTCTAAAAATGGCTATTATGTCCGGCACTTGCAATGGGATGTGTCAGGGAAGCAGCAAGGGAGACAAAGGGTGGATGTTAAGAGGAGGAGGTTGAATTGCATCTGTCTGTAAGTGAGTTTGTTCTCAATTCCCAAGCTGATATTGATTTTTCTGCGTTGTAGGCTGTTGAAGAGGAGCATCACAAGCTGCAGGAGGCCCTTTCTGAGTTCTCTCTAGTAGAGGGGAACTTTTAGTAAGACACCATTTTGCCACCTGCTGGCCACTGGGTGAGAACGCTGAACTGAATACTTCAATTTGTTTTGGTTTCACACGCTGCACACAAGAGTTTTTCTCTTATTTCTAACAGTAGCAAATAAGATACCAAATAAAAATAATTTTGGTCTTTTTATGAAAACTAAATTGTAATATGTGACCCATTACGTCAAACAGAGGAGGAAGTCTCAAAGTGGTATATGGAGAGCTATAGTGCATTGGTTAAAACATTTGCAACAATTGCATTTTGTTCAAATAAAAGCCTTATCAATAGATCATTTGAATGAATTGTCTGAAATATAATCTTAGTTTTTAAGCCCTGTTTTGAGCAGTAGCTACATAAAACATGATTTTGAGCAGAGAAGGCTTCAATTTTTGTAATTTTCCCCACAAGCTAGCAAAGTTTTTTTATTTGATAAATCCAAAAAATGTTTGAGATTTCATTTTTGTAATCTCATCAAAAAATCCCTCAATAGAATAATCTAACAGGATTCAAACCAACTATCAACAGGTTATACTAATTAGGAAGACGAATCAAGCCATATCTCTGGAACCACTCATGATATAAGGATGATTCAGGTATCAAAACGTAGCTTAAAAAGCAGGACTCTGAAAATGTGCTGAGGCCATTTTGACAAAATTTGACCTGATCCTCAGTTTAATGTGATTGGTTGCATATATTAACAAAGGAAATAAAAAGTATTTTCCAATAAGTAAAAACAACACAAATGTATTTTAAACAGTACATTACAATAATAATAATAATCAACCACATGATCTTAGTAATATGTAATGAGAATCCCAAAATTACATCATAAATTYGAGAAAATGATAAAAGGGTGCAAATGATTGGCTTGTAGATACAAGAGTTGTTAATCAAATGCTAACGTCMAGAAAGTAGGAAAAATGTTCAGCTATTTTAATTTAAATTAAGTAAGAGTTACTAAATGGTTGTTTTTTTTATGTAAGACATTTGGAAGCAGAAYTTCCAAACTATTTAAAAAACAAAGAACTCTAAATGAATCCTGTGGTTAAAACGTAATGTTGCTAAATGTTTTCYTTATTTTCCAAAATGGTGTTTAAAGGTTTTAGTGGTCAGCTTTCATTGTTTCTCACAGGCAGAAAATGAAACATTACAATGTCTAAAATAATACAATTGTTCCTGATAAACTTGTTTAGAAAACATAGATTTGATTCTATTCCCATTGAAAGTTGTACTCTTCACCATCTGTTGCCTCACGTACACTTTTCTCTTTTTACCCCCCTTTAGGTGTTTTGTGGTCRCTTGTTTGGGCTCTAAAGGCGCTTCCCAAATCTTCCTAAACCCTCGTGCATCTTACCTGGATCCTWGCCGCAATATTTCTTCGTATCGTAGCTGCTTGCAGTCGAGCAGGAAGTTTTCTGCCTGCCAGAGGAGTGTGATGGCTTTGCGCACAGTGCAAGTAGTTCAGTGAGGGATCGTGGGAGGTGTGTGCATGTCTGTGTGTGTCGTCTGTTTGGGTGCACGCTTGAAAGAAAGAAAGATATACAAAGAAGAAGAAAAAAAAAAAACAGATATCCTACTTTTGAGTGGGAAGTTATTATTGCAGAGAGGTGCCAAAAAAATGAAGCAATATTTTGCTGTGAGAATGATGCTGCCTAAAAAAAAATTGGTGTTTCTTTTCTGCTGTAACACACATATGCACACAGGAAACATGCGCTAGAACATGATCAGTAATGCCAAGAATAACAATGTACAGTTAATGATTAGGCCTTAAAAGGCTAATGTAGTTAAAGGATGTATTGACAAACTACTGCTGATATGTATTATTTCTAGTCTATGCTCAAATACAACAAAAWGCACTTTTTTCTGATCAAAACTAGTTCAATTCACACTGTTGTTGCGAAAGTTCTTATTTAAACTGTCRGAGATCAAAAGGGCTTTATATAAGCAGCCCTCGTTATTAAAAAGATGCATGCAGGAATGTGTGTGTATGTGTGTTACAACATTTTTAATTGAGGATATATTTGTTTGGAAGGTTCTAGCTGTTATTAGGTTTCATTAAAACATTTATATATAGTGGCACTATAGGCAATCATGCTGTTAATAATGGAGAATTGTTTGTWTGTACTGCTTTTATTTATTCTTCCGAGTCTTTTTTTTTTAGTTCAGTCAGTTGCCCCAATCTGATTGATGTCGTTACAAAACTGGGGCCAAATAGAGAAGGCAGTGTGCAAAAAAAAAAAAAGGTTGGACAAGGCTTAAAAAAAACTGGGAATGAGTACAAATCAAGATTGGAGAAAAAAGGAAGTTGTATAGCTGAAGTGGCTTTAGAGTGGATGAAGTTGGACAGTGATGCGAGAATTGGAAAGAAAAGAAGAGATTAGGAAATATGCTGCCAAAATACAAACACACACGTTTACAGAGAGTGTACATTTCTTCAGCATCCGTTTTTAGCAGGTGGAGTTTACAACTCCTGATCCAAAAGAAAAAAAAAGAAAAATCCACTTCAGTTGGGAGTTAAAACTGTTTTGTTTGACATTCGATTAAATGTGTAATTAGAGACAAAGAAATGCTTTCCTGTTTATTTGTATCAAAGCTGAGCTGCCAATATATTTTACTGAGCTGATGATTGTAAGTATAATTGTTGTAGTGTGATTCTTAGTATTGGCTTAAATGAGGCTGTGCACACAGGACCAAAGACGTTACAAAGCACACTGATGAATAAAATAGTAGTTTTTTTAATAAAACACAGTATCTTGATTCATGAATGAATGTACAAAGAAATAACCAGATGATCAACCTTTGTGACCAAATTCCAGCAGAACCTGCAGGTCTCTGATGTCTTTTCATACATCTCAGTAACCTTAACCTGAAAAGAGTTGTTTTCAGGTCATCTAGCCGGCCTGACTGCCACAAACTGTACTGTACCTCGTTGTATAGAGGACTGGAGACCAAKCACTGTTAAAGCTTCTGGTACTAAATTGAACAACGGAGTCTGATCCTTCAGCAGAAACAAAATAAAGCAACAAGAAGACAATGAAGCTGTAATTTAACAAAGGAAGCTTTGAGGGTTTGGAGGAAGGAAAGCCGTTGTCTCGTTCCAGTGTTGCTCTTACGGGCACTGTAATCGTGATCACTTCCTGATATTCATTCTTCATCATTGTTGCCACAACAACAGATTGTACCTTTTCTGAACCTCGCGACCTCAGCAAATATTCAGTTCGGACACTTAAACGTCACAGGATAACAGACTTATACATTCRTTTTGAAACCTTTCTGCCATCTTTCCCCGTGTCTTCCTCTTTAAAACTGTACATTAAGTGGTTTGAAGGAAAAAGCGGTAGACGAAAATGCTGACTCTCTCTCGGTTGCATGATCACTTTTTCCAGCTGCACATTTTTACAAGGAATTGTTGTGTATTTCATTTGTTTACTCAAGCAGGCTGGGGTAGTTATTGCCTTATTGAAGTGTTCTTTTCTTTGTTTTTTAAATGATGTGCTGTGCATTTCCCGTTATGAGATAGGAGGTGTCTGTAACTTGTCTTTACACAAACATGATGCAAGTAATGCGACTAAATCTTAGTCGAGCTGTTTTTTTTTTTCACATTTAAAGAAATAATCCTTTAACAGTTTTTTAAACTTCAATGACAACTTTGTGCTTCATTGGCTGACGATCGTTACAGACACTCCCCTCKCTCCTTCAGGTTATTTTCCTTTTGTAGCCTATTCTATAAACATGTATAAAAAGTGTATTTAAAGAGTGGTGCCTTCTTTTGACTGCTTSATAAAAGCCTTGTAATTACATCAAAGTGATTTTGTGGCTTTCATGGCAGCCGTAACACAGTAAGACTGATAATAGGCAGAAGGAGATCATCCAAAGATGCTAACCAAATGGGTTCAAGGTTGACGGTTGTTTTCATTTTGATGATGAATAAATTTATCTTACAGCTCATTTCTTTCCTTTCCATCTCCATTACATCAGCATGATTTGAGTCCGCTCACACAGGCCTGTTTAGCAAAACAAAAAAGAAAAAAACTGCTTGTCATAATGGCCTCTGCAGTCTTGTTATATAAAAATATATGATTATGCAAGAATTATAATGTGTATTTGGTATATCGTATTGTGTAAGAGGCTTTTAATTGATGTATACCTAAGGAAAAAATGTGGTACGCTTTGTTTTTTAATTCATTTTTTTAATAAAGTGGGGAAATAAACACCTGCTTTGTCGTTTTATAGTTGAAACTAAGAACATTATAAGGCAAAAATATTTTAATTTCCTTAACTTTTAGGCAATCATTTTAAAACAAATGTTAAAATCTTAATAACTAAATGTCCTCTATAAAGAAGTCCAGATTCGGTGCTTGAACAAATGTGGGCCGTTCCAAATTTGTTCAAGCGTGAATCCTGACAGCAACAGACCCAAAACACCAGTGTGTCTTTACAAAAAGGAAAGAGTGGATCGCTTTAAGGTTTTGAGTTTTCTACAACTGGTTATTGATTTTTTTCTCCCTTTTTAATTCTTGATTTTACCACTTTTTAAAAGAAAAATATGGGAGTAGTTGTCTTCTTTGTCCTCTGCAGCTTATTTGGTAAGTTATGTTACTGTTCTCTTCATTCTTTACATTAATTTTATTCAAATTTAAAAACAATATATAGAAATTTTATAAGTTTCTTTTTTCCCCATATATCAGTTCTAATTTTCCCTGGTTTTCATCAAATGTAATGTCTACACTTGAAAATGTACTATAGATGAGCTTAAGGGTTAGGTTTTTAAGTTTTGCTTCATTGACCCACATTTCCTGTCTGAACAGATGGCTTATCGCTGCCAGGCTGCTCTGTTCAGCTTGACAAAATGTTTTTGTTCATTTAATGATTGTATTTGTTTGGTATTGAACTCCAACTGAGGTCAGTTACAGTRAGTTCAGAAAGTGCAAAAGTGTGCCCCTTTCCTATTTATATCCTGTTGGTATTGAACCACAGATGGAGTCAAAGTAATGGGTAACAACATCTCAGCTGCAATAAACAGAAATGGGGGGGGGGGKGTTATWTTTATTTATGTAAAATATTTTTACTTTATGGAGTACTGTGTGTAGATTAGGGGTTCCCAAACAGCATGACCTTGTGGCCGAGACCCCGYTCCCTTGCAAACCAGCAATCTTAAAGAAACGTCAACTTTTAGAATGTTTTTTATCACTATTTAACATAAGAATTTTATTAACTAACATGTTTTAATTCCCACAGGGGAAAAAAAATCAAACTTAACGATAAGAGCAGAACAAAAAAAATTGTCTTGAAAGTTTTCTCAAATAATATTTCAATATATTCTTAGAAATTATATTTTAATATAATAAACGATGTTATGAACATTTATTAGATTTATTTATTATTATTTTTCTTTTGCCTTTGCATTTTTTTTTCTCATCTTCCCTCCAGCTTTCTCAGGCTCCCTWGTGCTCCTTGTCGGCTCCCACTTCAGAAAACACTGGTGTAGACTGGTGTGTGGGTGGGTTGGGTTTAAATAATTATAGCATCACACAGCAAAAAAAAACTAAAAACAGCAACAAAAATAAATAAAGCCTGACTGGAGTTCAGAATATGTTTTAACCTAACCTGAAATGACACCAGGTCTATTACAAAGATAAGAAAAATGGGTCTTTAAATACCCCCTCATACAATGCATTAACAGTAAAAAGAAGTGAAGAAGTCTCTTGGAAGAGAGACGAAACGTTTCATTAAAGAAGAACCCGTCCAGAGGACCTATACAATTTTTTTCCTTTTGATTTTTTTACCTGGATTACTGAGATGCATCAGGAAACAATAAAAAGGTTTAAAAAAAGTTTGAAGAGAAGTTTTTGTTGTTTTCTTTCACAGGCGGTTGCGCTTTGGAAAAAGTGGAATTAGAGCCCGACCAGCCCTTCCTGAGGGTCCTGCTGTCTGACACAGCTGAACTGAAATGCTGCTACAAAGGCAATAAACAGGCCTTCTTTTGGGTCAAACGGATGCCCAATTCTTCAGTTTATAAAGTGAACATATCAGTCTCAGAACATGAGGTGAAATATGATCATGATGTTAAACACTGTTCAACTCTGACCTTTAAGAACGTCCAGCTGAATGACACTGGGCTGTACCAGTGTCAGCTGGGTTCCAGCACGTTCACACATGGCACCTACCTGCAGGTCTACAGTGAGTATGCAAGGGGGGTGGGGGGCTTTTGTAATGCAAGCTGATCAGGAATGCCAGTTTGCATGTGTGTGTATGGAGTCAAGCAGCTGTAAGAACTGCTTACACCTCATAAGCYATAAATCCTGTTAACCTCAGTCTATCTAAGAGTGGTGTGAGCGGCAGCATTTGTGCATTTTGCAGAGCAGTTAATCTTTTCATCATGTGACTGGCTTCATTACACACGTACTCATTTATTTACTTAAAATAGCACCAAAACCAGATCAAACTATTCAGGTCAATGTGTTGCATTAGTTTAAAATCATGTTACACTGACCAAACAATAGCTTTGATTGTACAGGTTGTGTTCTTTATTCTGAGTGGAACAGTTACAAAAACTCTTGGAAATCTGTTAMGTAATTAATTGGCTTTTATTATTTTTTTCTAGTCACTTCTGCTTCTYTTAATGCCAATGGAAAAGGAGTGTTTTAAAGTCATATGTCCTGTTTTGTTTGCTGTATTGCTGAACCCTGCTTGTGATTAGAGTTAATGGAGAAGATGATAAACCTCAGCGAGAGCACCAAGAACACAATCCTGACAGCTGAAGGGATCCTGCTGCTTCTGTGTGTGATAGTGCCATCTGCCACTATTCTGTTCAAAGTAAGAAAGTTTGTAAACTGATAAGTCTAAACTCTCTGACCTGTACTGACCATTAAAAAAGCTGGTTGATTGCATAAACTGAATAAAAATGTTGCCTCCTTATCATTACCAGCATAAATGATTGMAATCTGTGAGCCATAAGTGCTTAAAATCTTCCTACTATTTATTTGAACTCTTAAGATTAGCAAATGTTCACAAGTTCTGTTTTATCCTTCATAGTCAAAGGACCTAAAGGAACTAGAGATGAAAAAAGTGGAGGCAGAAGAGGAGAACATATATCAGGTGAATATTGAATAATCGTGGTCTTTTGTCTTAAGCCGTGGCATCCATGACCAATAAAATCCAGTTTACTGCAGAAACAAAGATCAGAGCATCAATATTTTAATTTTCACTGACCAGTACACTGTATGACCAAAACAACTGTGTGCTTACTTGATTTTTCCCTCCTTATCTCTTACATCAGGGCCTAAATCTAGATGACTGTTGTACAACTTATGATCAGATTGAACGCTCCCAGGTGCAGGGTCAGTACCAGGATGTGCGCAGTGGTGTGGAGGAAAGGGAAGAAATTCAGCTGGAGAAGCCATGAAGAAAGTGAAGAGATGAAAGACAAACAAAAAGGACCTGTTTGCCTGTTTTGAGAGCTGTAGATTGTGTGTGGAACTCAAAATTATTGTGATACACACTTAAAAAACGTTTTGTACATAGCTTATATTGCTTAACCACAGTTAGGATTAAGACAGAAGTAGATAAAACTGCGTTATGAAAAAATGCTAGAATTAAAAAATTGGTTTATTAATCTTTTTAGCTATTTTATACATTTTGTTACTTTATATGCATTACCTACTGCATATTTTTCTACGCATTTCCCTAGTAATAGATGTTAAACATTTCAAATTGTTTGAAAAATATTGATTATAAAGATGAAATGCAGTTTTTTTTTTTTTAGATTTATGTACCAAATGTTGTCTGGTTGTCATCCTCTGTCGTTCACTTGAACATTGATTCTTTTTTGCACTTCACTATTTTTTTTAATTCAAATTTTGAATACAAATGCAAATAAAGTCCATCTGTATGAACAAATCTCTTTTATCTGCGGCTTGGTGAATGGGATTGAGTTAGTTTGGTTTCCTGTAAGCGTCGCGATTGGCTACTGAACAGGGAGGCAGTCATTCATTGGCTAATGTCGTTGATATGGGCGGGGCCTCACCACTGWCAGGTAGGTATGAAGGAGAGACATGAAGGCGGTGCGTAAACAGTGGGCGAAGATGGCGTCAGGGAAGATGGGTGGGGGTAGTAACAAATTGGAGAGAGGCGTGAATGGAAAACGGTCATCTAAACTGAAAGAGGGTCCTGTTGGTGAGTTTTTCTGTTCCACGTTGACATCGCTTCCTCGCACTTGTCCCATTTAAAAACTGCCTCCATGTAGACGCTATCCTCTGCTAGTGTTAGCAACTAGGTTAGCTTCCACGGCTTGCTTATAACATCTGTTTAGGTCTAACCCTATTATATCCCATAAWACACATTATATTTGTGATATACATGCGCAGGCTATTAAAAATGTTGGTAGTAAAGTAAGAAAAGAAAACGCCTTGTTTATGTCCCCCATATCCTATAGAGCATCATCTCATTGTTTGCTTAAAAAAACCCGTTGTTTATAACTGTTTTCCGCTTATAATTATATTCCATGTTTTTCTCGTTATAACGAGTTATTGTTTTCCTTGTTTATCATTCAGTAACCGTGGAGACGGCCCGATCACCTCAGTTGGTGACCGATAAAGTTTATTGTATTTATTATAACATCAAGTTCAAGTCGACTGTGTAAACGCCTGCTGAGCTGCAGTCGGGCCAGCCGTCTGCTTTAATGACGAGGGCTGATATGAAAGTTAGCTCTACAAGACAAACATCACAATTTGAGCCTGATGATACAAAAACGACACAAAATTATGAACAATTAATAGGTTGCCTTCAGGCCCAGGACACTCTGAGATATGTCCTGATGTATCTCAGTAATCCAGGTA